ATGAGAATCGTGGAACGAATGTGTTGGCGTGTCTGTTTTGCCAATTTTTAAATATAGGGATAGGTAGGATAGGTAGTATACTTTTGGTGTGTCTGTTTAATTATAAGTAGGTAGGGCCGGGCAGGTTGTCACTGTCTCTGATCGGGTAGGCGCGTTTTCGCGTGACAACCTGTTTCAGGAAGTAAAATTCGAAAGATCGAGGGTGAAGCTCGAAAACGAGTGGACAGTGTGTCACTCGGTTGTTGGCTTTGCCGATCGATTTTTCGAATTCCGCGGTCGTGGACGCGAAATACGTTTCGAAACGAACGTTGCGCTCGAGATTCTGCACATGTATTAAGAACGATCATTGTGATACTGGTCGTCCATATTTAGCTTTCGTGATTTAATCTTTTTTTTTTCTTTTTTTTTCGGTTTACGATTAGTGAATCTCGAGCCTAGATTTAAGTTTCAGCGGGCATCGCGCCCGAAGGAGGAAGACCGAAGAGGCCCGACAAACTGTCACGAAGAGGGCTGCAACGAATGGTTTCTCATTTTTTGTATCTTGCTAGATCCAAAGAATGGGGAGTCATTGTTACTATTTTGTCACTGTGCTCGTTTTAGTAATATGCATATACATGTTATTGTCTGGCCGATTTACATGTCGGCCCAACGTTCAAATCCAATCAGTTATGGACATCGCGATTTCGCATTATTTTGATTATAAATTATTTTTTTATTATTTTTTTTTTTTAATATAAACTTAAACTTGTCTTATAGTGTTGCGATTCGTATCGGGATATTTGACGTTTCTATAAGTTTTCTTATAGAATATATTTATTATAATTATTTTATAATAAATTTTACGTTAGAATTAATAACGTTACGTGATAAATGACCGCGTTTTTTTATAGTAGTGTTGCGTTTATAATTTGTCCATATTTCTTGTTGGATCGTGGAAATACGTTCCTACTCCTGGATCACTGATTGGAATCAAATCCATTTGGATGATTGTACGACGGACGATAGCCTTTGATATGGCTGCAATTTTCCGCTATTAGTGTCGCGACGATAAAATATGAGTGCATAAATTAGTTTATTAGAGTTTTGCAAATAATCGAAACATTATTGAAAATATATGTTATATGTATCTCTTTTTTCTTTACCTTTTTTTTTTGTTTATCAAGACTCGAATTACAAACACAATAAAGCACTCTTCGTATTTTTTTTTAAAAATTTAGTATATTAGCGTTTGCGAAATAAAAAAGATGTTTCACTCACGGTTTGTTCGGATTTACATTGACTCGGATTATTATTATACTTTGGATAGCCCTTCTGGCTATTTCTTCTTTGCTTTTTTCTTTTCATCGCTCCTTTCTTAACAGAGAATTTGTTACTGAAAATATAATTGAAAAATGTATTCTTTTGTTAATAATAAATATTTTTCACTCGTTACAGTATTATTGAAAATTATTAAAATGATTAAAATGAGATATTTAGTTGAACTCAGATTCAAACTGAATTAGAAAATTTTAGTTAAAATTTTTTAATTCAAATCAAAATTCGCATTTTTTTCAATTGTCATTTTCAACGTCATTTTGACGAGGAAAAAAACTAGAAGAATGAAAATTTATTAGTTGTTTAAATTAACAATATTTTTATTATTAATTTAATAGTTGAGTTTGTTACAGGTTACAAATTGAAAAAGATGAATAGAAAAAAAAAAAAGATTGTTATAGTAATTGTAGTTATTATATAATTTTATTAATTTCATTAGTTTGTTTCAGAAACAAATTTAACAATGTTAATAAAAATTAAGATACGTTTCAATTTACTATTTAATATTAGTGAAACAACTTAATAAAGGCATAATTAACGTATGTTATTTAACGTGTTGTTTATTTAAATTAGAAAATAATGTAACGTAGATAAATAGAAAATAAAAATAGGGTGCATGGTTTCGTATGGAGCATTTATTCCGCTTATTTTATTTCATTTTTTAAATGTTTTCTAACTATTATTTTTGACGATGAAAATATTGATAGAAATTGGTATTTAGTTTTTTTAATTAGTTTTTCGCTTTCCTTGTACATACAACGTTTCGTTATTTGTTTTGTGCACAATGATTCAACGTTTTGTAAATAAATATGTATATATGTCGAAAGGAGAATTTATTTGAGAATGAATAAAAATTTTCGCGATAAAAAAAGAATACGATAAGATGGAATGGATATTAGGATGAGAAACGGCGGGATTTGGGAAATCGTGTATAATCCTCGTGTATATATCAGCGGTATATCATGTATATGTTATATAAGAAATAATAATATGAGTTAATTGGCTGCAAGCGCGGTAATATTTTTGATAAAGAAATTCAAGCGATTTAATAATCGTGATTTACGTATATTGTACGTAGAAGAAAAAATTTCTCAAAATATCACGTCTATTCTACGTTTTTCATATCTACTTTGATCTAATTACGATACGTAGATATAATATAGCGTTGAAAATTTTGATTTGTAAGAGGAATGAACGCTCGTTCGTTTCGTTTCGTTTCGTTTCATTTCCAAAGTTGGACAGAAAAGCACGAAAATAAATATGCATGCATTCATCGAAACGTGACAGATTAATAGATAAAACGATTACCTGCTTAATCTAATAGTGCTTTTTGTTTCGCGGACCATGAGTGCCCGCTCCCAAAAGTGCACTGCTTCGGGTAAAATGGTATTCTGAAATAAATCAAAATGCACGATTTAAATATTACGTAATTGCTTTTTCACCTTTTACTCCTTATTTATTTCCAAATAAATAAATAATCGCGACAAACACGTTTCGTCACAAGTTTTTTTAATTATAATTAGACGATAATTAGGCATAATTTGTGGGAATCTGTGTAAACTTTCGTGCACGATTATATACGAAGAATGGCGAGAATCGGAGAGAGGAAGAAACGACCATCTATATTACTTCCGAATGCTTTAAACAAACGATCGCTGGATGGTTGCGTGTTGTCGAAGGGAGTAAAAGGGTGTAGAAGGGAGTTACGCTCGAGCGAACGTGCGTCATTAATATCGGCCTAATGGCAAGCGTCTGATAATTAAAACGGAGCCGAACAAATGGGGCTTGGAACATCATGAACGTGCAACGCTTAATTTCATCGTCTTTAATTATTTTTCACCGATTACATTGTAGACGGCGTTTCTCGTTAACAGCTTTACCGATCCAATCTTTCGAATAACGAGCAACCATTTATCGATCATCCAACGATGGGTAGAAGAAGAAGAAGAAGAAGAAGAAAATATTTCGTATAATAATTAAATCAAATCGTGATTTATCATAATAGAGATTGCGATTTCTTCTGCGCAAAGAATACAAAGCGTACAATTTAATGTGTTTATGATTTACGATTGAATTTATTACGATTAAAATATATATATTTTTTTCAAAATTTCTCAGCGACAAAACGTTGCAGCAAATCCAATTTTTCTTCTGCGTTGGCATGTTCTCGGCAGTGTCCGTTATATATACATATGTATACATATGTATACATATGTAGCTGTTAAATATATATATGTATATATATATATATATATATACACACGTCCACTCCTTATCCTCGTTAGTTTCATTTCGCTCCTCCTCTCTTTTCTTTCCACGTCGTTCGCTCCTATATGATGTAGCCAATGTTCCCTTTATCGCTACACGGGAGAAGCGCTGTTCTCCTTTATCACCATATTCCGTAAATCCTAGAAATATCTTTTCGTTGTCGTGTTTTCTATCGATACGAGAAATTTTCTATATATCGTCGAGTAATTCTTTTTATTATGCTTCTTCTATTATTATACTATCGACTAACAATATATGTTTATCCATTGATTAGAATTAATATTCATAACAGAAATATAATTTGTATCGCAAAAATTATCTAAATTATATCTATATTTTTGTTATTAACTTAAATATTATTTCTTTGGCGTTTTATAACGAATATAGAAAAGTATGAAATTGAATTGTCATTAAAATCATAATGTTCCGTGACTGGTGAAATGATGGATGGATATAGATATATAGAAGAGAAATATAATAAAATATTCTAAAAAAAAGAAAAGGGAAAAAAAGGAGATGGAAAAATTAATTTTTCACAGATTATCGAAAAATAACGTATATCGAGAGATTGCTGGTGCGGATTACGAAAAAAATAGAAGAAACGAATCGGTGTTGCTTCATCGAATTTCGCGGTCGTTAGATGCCGGTATTAAATGGAAATGTCGAGTCTTATTTAAATTTTAGATGCAATTAGATTCATTTACTCTGGCGGTGGCAATTATTCGAGTTACGGAGCAAGATGGCGGGCGGTATCCTGGTGAAAATTTTCGGAATAAATGAATCGCGCGCGCGAGTCGTGATGTTACGAAATCGTTGGCTGACCCGACGAACACCGTTTCTACTTCGAACATTTCCCCTTTCTCCTTTTCCCCTTTCCAACATTCGACATTCGTCACCGCGCGATTTACCATCTCGATAATTAGAGTTTTATTGCCGTGAAACCAATTGTTTTTATTGTTTTTTTTTTCTTCTTTTTTCTTCGAACGAACGATCGATTCGATAGGAGGAGAATCGCGAAAAGATTGCTAAATATCGCGTTCGCGATACTTGGAATGATGGAAGAAAGGCGGAGAGCGGAGATGCGAGAGAGATTGGCGCGCAGTTGAACGGAGAAATTTAGAAGATAGAGGGCAAATACAGGGAACGGATGGCAAATATGGCTTTTCGCCGTGTTTGACGATCGATCCGATGCTCGTTCACCGGAGAAGGGAGCAATCGGTTTTCAACCTCTGCTCCCTCGCGAGATTATCATACGACCGACTATTATGCGGAGTAAACGGGGATGGCCCCGCGTGTTCCAAGCTTGCCAGGTGCTCTGATTGAAATGCGCCCGGTAATTTCCGCTTATTTGCCGCATACACCTATACCCGCCGTGGTGGTACGTTAGGACCGGTAACGTTTGATACGACGGAGAACGCATCCATATTCCACGCTCCATTTAGATTTCCCATATGCCATATATCTACGTATATCGGGATAGGAGGTAGGGTAAAAGCTGTCACGATTATGCGTGTATCGTTCTCGGCCATTCGTTTCGCATAGTAACCGCTAATTAAATCGATCGGTATTAATCGTCGCTTAGGAAAAGATAATCGGCCGCGGTTAAACGTTACGCTTCGTTGGATAATTTTCGATCGTCGGTCGATGGATACGAGCCAAGACGTCATTTCGTACGATTCGGAAGGGAAGAAGCTTTCGCTTCGATACATGCGATTCCTCGCCTATTCGGAAGATATACGATCGATTTTTCGACTCGATGGAAGAAAGAAAGAATAATTGAAAAATCGTATCAATTTCGATTTCGAGTTACTTACGTTGATGAGATCCAGTTTTTCGTCGTCCAACCTGCAACACGAAAATTTATGATAAACGTGAAACTCGTGGATAGATATGATCGAATGATAACGTAATTAAGCTTGGATCGAACTTGTTCTCCAATAATCGATGTAAAAATGTGAAAACGACAAAGTTGCGAATCGAAAATGATGCGCGCGAATTTCTAATCTCGCGTTACTCCCGAGAAAGTATACTCCGTCCATTATGCGATCGATTTCTCGTATTTCGATGCGAATCAACGTCTCTCATCGACGCCATCGTAGAATTATACGAATGGAATTGCACGGAACATCACGTTGCGTTTCGTATCCGAGAGCAATCTCTAGTCGTCGTCACATTGCCGTATAACGCGACGTTTCGCGTGGATATATCGAGCAAAAGTTTTGGCAGGAAACGTCGAGCGGGACGTGAAGGATAGGACGGCGATGCTAACCGAAAAAAGAGGGGGAAAAAAAAGAAGAAGAAGAAGAAGAAGGAGAAAAATACGAGCAAGAGACACAACGGTACTTACCTCCTACAAGTTTAATCCTACGCGCGATTCTCTTCTTCTACAACTTGTTCGCATCTTTTCCTCTTTCACCTTTCTCATCTTTTTCCTTCCCCCTTTCCCCTGTCTATCTCCCCGTTCCATCTTTTGCTTCTTCCCACGTTACTACGTCGTGCACTTTTTGCATCACGTAATAAAACGTTTGGCCTTTTTCCCATTCTTTTTTCTTTCGTTAACGTTCCCTTTTTAATTTAGCTACGAAACAGCAACATTATTACGTTTTATACGATTTTCTAACCAGAATATTCTCTCGTTTCTTCTTAAGACCATATTTTTCTTTTTTTCCTTTTTTCCGCTTTAAAAAATTAAAAACAGTCGTGAAATGAAAATTCGTAAACGCGATGTCGACGAATTATTTTCATTTATCGCGTTACTGGAAAAAAACGCTCAATTTGATTTGATCAACCGTCGCTACTCTTATTTGCGTAAAAAGCGTTTCCGTTGCGTAAAGCGTTTTTCTTACTTTTTATTACTTTTAAAACATTTTAAATTAGAGATTTTATGGAATTAAAATTATTACGATGGAAAGTTGGGCGCGAATCGATTATTCGGATAAGAGAATTCGGATAAAAGTATAGGCGCGCGTAAAACGATGTTTAAAACATTTTTCCGACGATGAACGAATCTATTGGAATGGACGAGACGCGAGATTTAGCCAAGATAAAGCGTGGATAACGGCGGATATCTGTTTTTCATCGAATTCCGGTCAATTTTCAAAAGATACGAATCAGCCGGTCCCCTTTTGCGTTTCGCATTAGATCTTTCCAATATATACTATAACGATTTAATTCGTAAATTTTACACCTCGCTACCTTTAGCCCAATTTCTCGATCGTATCAATTTCTAATAATTTCGCGTTTATCTTGGGCCGTGCTGCATGCTTCGTTTTTCCCAATAATAGGAACGCTCGATAATAAAACACTCGTCGAGTATTTCGATTAATTCGTTTATTGTTATCTCGCGTTATATAAACGTATAATATTAAGATTAAACGATTGGAATTCAAGATTCGAATCGCTTGGAGGTTAACGTGTTACGCGAAAGAAAAAACTAATTCTAGAAGAAGAAGATAAATTTCCGTTTTGATACAAGGCAAAAATTGGCCTTTCCTCGACGCAGAAGCGCAGTGGAATTAATTACAAAGCAGCGAGAATCGCGGGTTGATAATTTTCGGCGTTCACCGATCGGTCTCGAGCAACGAACGCGATTGTTGGAATATTTGGCATGCTGTTGGCGCATCGTGAGCCTGCCAACGACCTTTCGATAAATCGGATTCCCGGCCTTGCCGGGTATCGAATCGCATTTCCATCGCAACACTTGCCACGCTCGAAAACAAATGCAAATTGCTTATTTTTTTTTATTTCTCCCAGCTTTCTTCCAACGAGGAGAGGATGAAAAACTTCTTAAACGAGTACTTACAAAATGGACGATTTCTAAATAGCAAAGCGTCGTTTAGACCGACTAATTGAAAAGTCGATAGAATTAATTAATCTGGGATGGGCGTTGTTGGCGTTGGCGTCCGTCGAACAGGGAAGGATCGGTTGAATCGGAACGCGCGATGCAACAACCCGTTAAACACGGAACTGGTTATATTATGATTTACCGATATATGATCGCGTATGTTCATCCATTATGCTAAATACAAGATATAAAGAACGAAGCGATCGGTAATGCGTATACAAACGTATAATGTAACAATGTCGATATAAATGGGTATAGAATTCGTGGCTGATCTCGAGTTAAAATTATCACGAGGTTATCCAAATTTTATATATATATATATATATATATATATATATAT